TCGTTGAAGAAAAAATCTTCGTCCAATACGAGGTGAGTAATTGCTGTCCTGATATCCAGAAGCTCTTTTTGGTTATAAGAGACGATGGCAGAAACATTATGTACAAAATAAATTACAAATAACGCGGAAAAACACACATAATAGTACAATTGGTTAGAGGGCTGTAAAAAGGCAGCCATCTTCTCCGGCGCCATTCTCTCAATTATGGGTTGGCAGCCATCAATATAAATATAACAATACAAATGATCAACATTAGCAGCAGCAATAGTATAAAGTAAGGCCTACATAGAAGGTAAGTGAAGTGCGCTGTGCACATTCTCAAAAACATCACTTCAACATCATCAAAATATGCTGATAAAAAATGCTGACTACATTAGCTTCATCATCCCATGTAATGACAACCAAGACAATAAAACTAGTTAATACAGACTAACCTACCTACCTCCTCTTCCCTGTATTCAAAAGGCCAATGGCCGTAGGGGTAAAGGGTAAAGGAGTGCTTTTACCTGTTTTAATCTTTACAGTGGGGAATCTACACCGGGAGGGTAGGACATGGAACTCCTGGTGTAGGGGGTGGGCACTGTCAGACAGGATGGATTCTGCCTTCCTCACCACTTGTCTGTTGTACAGGTCAGACAGACTACTCCTGTGATTTTACTGCTCACTTTCACTATTCTAGGTAGTGCATTTTTTGCTTTGATACCAAGGTTACCATACCAACAGATGAAAGAAAATGGTAGGACTCAACGTACGCTTTATAAAAGAGAGTCTTCAAGGTCCTGTCGACCTGGAACTTTGCCCGTTTCCTGACACAAAAAAAGGTGTTGCTGGCCCTTCTTACACAACATGTCAGTGTTACACTCAAAGCTACATTTATCATCAATCATGGTCCCAAGTTACATATAATTGGCTACAGTGTCTACCACCTGGCCCTTAATGATAGTGTTCTGAGGGTTAGGGGGTTGACACCTGAAGTCAATACAAATATCTTTGGTTTTTGTCACATTCAGTTGTAAGAAAGCACTGTGGCACCAATGTACAAAATCCTTAACAACAGGACCTTGGCTAGTTTGATCGGCATGAAGCAGACTGACTATTACTGAGTCATCCGCAAACTTTAGGATGTGTTGGTTCTTGTACTGGCTACGACAGTCATCAGTGTACAGGATATAGAGGATTGGCCAGTACACAACCCTGGGGTGAGCCTGTTGGTGATGACAGCTTCCATGACAGGCACCCATTCACCCTCACCTTCTGGGTTCTGTTAGTAAAAAAAGTCAAGGATTCAGCCCACTACATTAGAGTCTACACCAAAATTATTAGTGAGTTTGTTCATAGACCCTGCGAGATACTTGAACATCTCATTCCAAAACCATGAGCATCAATATGGGAAGGCTTTCCACTAGATGTTGAAACATTGCTCCGGGGACCTGCTTCCATTCAGCCACAAGAGCATTAGTGAGTTCGGGCACTGATGTTGGGCGATGATTAGGCCTGGCTCGCAGTTGGCGTTCCAATTCATCCCAAAGGTGTTCAATGGGGTTGAGGTCAGGGCTCTGTGCAGGCCAGTCAAGTTCTTCCAGACCGATCTCGACAAACCATTTCTGTATGGACCTCGCTTTGTGCATGGGGGCATTGTCATGCTGAAACAGGAAATTGTTGCCACAACGTTGGAAGCACAGAATCGTCTAGAATGTCATTGTATGCTGTAGCGTTAAGATTTCCCTTCACTGGACCTAAGGTGCCTAGCCCGAACCATGAAAAACAGCCCCAGATCATTATTCATCCTCCACCAAACTTTATAGTTGGCACTTTGCATTTGGGCAGGTAGCGTTCTCCTGGCATCCGCCAAACCCAGATTCATCCGTCAGACTGCCAGATGGTGAAGCGTAATTCACTCCAGTTCTACTGCCAATGTTTGTCTATGGAGGTTGAATGGCTGTGTGCTCGATTTTATACACCTGTCAGCAACGGGTGTGGCTGAAATAGCCGAATCCACTCATTTGAAGGGGTGTCCACATACTTTTGTATATACAGTGAGGGAAAAAAGTATTTGATCCCCTGCTGATTTTGTACGTTTGCCCACTGACAAAGAAATGATCAGTCTATAATTTTAATGGTAGGTTTATTTGAACAGTGAGAGACAGAATAACAACAAAAAAATCCAGAAAAACGCATGTCAAAAATGTTATAAATGTATTTGCATTTTAATGAGGGAAATAAGTATTTGACCCCCTCTCAATCAGAAAGATTTCTGGCTCCCAGGTGTCTTTTATACAGGTAACGAGCTGAGATTTAGGAGCACACTCTTAAAGGGAGTGCTCCTAATCTCAGCTTGTTACCTGTATAAAAGACACCTGTCCACAGAAGTAATCAATCAATCAGATTCCAAACTCTCCACCATGGCCAAGACCAAAGAGCTCTCCAAGGATGTCAGGGACAAGATTGTAGACCTACATAAGGCTGGAATGGGCTACAAGACCATCGCCAAGCAGCTTGGTGAGAAGGTGACAACAGTTGGTGCGATTATTTGCAAATGGAAGAAACACAAAAGACCTGTCAATCTCCCTCGGCCTGGGGCTCCATGCAAGATCTCACCTTGTGGTGTTGCAATGATAATGAGAACGGTGAGGAATCAGCCCAGAACTACACAGGAGGATCTTGTCAATGATGTCAAGGCAGCTGGGACCATAGTCACAAGAAAACAATTGGTAACACACTACGCCGTGAAGGACTGAAATCCTGCAGCGCCCGCAAGGTCCCCCTGCTCAAGAAAGCACATATGCAGGCCCGTCTGAAGTTTGCCAATGAACATCTGAATGATTCAGAGGAGCACTGGGTGAAAGTGTTGTGGTCAGATAAGACCAAAATCGAGCTCTTTGGCATCAACTCAACTCGCCGTGTTTGGAGGAGGAGGAATGCTGCCTATGACCCCAAGAACACCATCCCCACCGTCAAACATGGAGGTGGAAACATTATGCTTTGGGGGTGTTTTTCTTCTAAGGGGACAGGACAACTTCATCGCATCAACGGGACGATGGACGGGGCCATGTACCGTCAAATCTTAGGTGAGAACCTCCTTCCCTCAGCCAGGGCATTGAAAATGGGTCGTGGATGTGTATTCCAGCATGACAATGACCCAAAACACACGGCCAAGGCAACAAAGGAGTGGCTCAAGAAGAAGCACATTAAGGTCCTGGAGTGACCTAGCCAGTCTCCAGACCTTAATCCCATAGAAAATCTGTGGAGGGAGCTGAAGGTTCGAGTTGCCAAACGTCATCCTCGAAACCTTAATGACTTGAAGAAGATCTGCAAAGAGGAGTGGGACAAAATCCCTCCTGAGATGTGTGCAAACCTGGTGGCCAACTACAAGAAACGTCTGACCTCTGTGATTGCTAACAAGGGTTTTGCCACCAAGTACTAAGTCATGTTTTGCAGAGGGGTCAAATACTTATTTCCCTAATTTAAAATGCAAATCATTTTATAACATTCTTGACATGTCTTTTTCTGGATTTTTTTGTTGTTATTCTGTCTCTCACTGTTCAAATAAACCTACCATAAAAATGATAGACTGATCATGTCTTTGTCAGTGGGCAAACGTACAAAATCAGCAGGGGATCAAATACTTTTTTCCCTCCCTCAGTGTATATGCTTGAACATTTCATGTTGTGTGGTGAACATCTTTACTCCTTCTCTCACCTATATTGGCCACACTTCCAGACTCAGGATCTGCTCCAATACTTTTGAAATGCATCTTTCCTCCCTTTCACGAGGTCATTGCTAATCAGTATGCAATTGGATGGCCAGGGTGAAGTTCAATTCCTACTTTATTTCTGTCCGCAGTCCAGCTCTTCCAGGAAGGAAGGAAGGAAGGAAAGGTGCATGTCTGAAGTGTTTGAATGGGGCCCTGGATTGGACAAAGTCCTGTTGTTCAGACAGGGACACTCCAAAGAAGTATGTGTAAAGAAGACGTGTGTGTGTGTACAGATAGTTAGAAAAATGCAATAGGAATGACAGGTCACAGCTCGTCCCTCTGTCAGGGAAGGAACAGAACCCTGTGAGAACCCCACCCACATAACGATGAGGTAGATGCATTCCACAATGCCCCCTCTCTGTCTCTCCCAGTGCTCTGCTCTCTTGGCTGCACCCAACACAGTGCATCTACCTTATCGCTACCTTCACTACCTGGCTTGGCTGCTCCCCTGCTACCTCAGACAGACACATCCCTGAGCATGGTGCGCTTCAGGTCTATTTTAGTACCTGGAGTCTGTAGGCATGACTGTAGCTGCTGCTAAACCAGATAGACAGTTCTAGCTGAAACACACAGGGGATGCTGTGTTCTCAAAATAGCCAGTGTAACAGATATAGCATGTCCCAGTAATCAAAGTGATGCGCCATCAGCAGAGGTCGTTTTTGCAGTAGCACTGTAACATTATTTTATTTGCATGAGTACGGTTTGTGTATCCCAGCTTGCTGGCGTCTTGTAGACCTCATCTACACCGCATTTTTAGACTGCTCTACTTTTCTGGGGCTCTGTGTGTTAGCGAGTGTGTGTTTTGCTTTCTCGGAAGAGCAATTGGACCACGCATGCAACACACACACACGCACTCTTCTCCTCACGATGGTTTCCCCTCCAGATGTCTGGGTAGGGTTTCCTGGTCAGGAGAAGTTCTAAATACAGAACGCTGCTCCGTCCACAACCCACTACTTAGCCACTGACGTCGGTTGTGAAACCAAACAAACAGTATTTCTGCACTGTAAATTGTATTTGTTTAGATGGTCCAAACAAACTTCACTCAAGATAACTGGGAAATGGTATACTCAATTCAGTTGTGATGATTGGTATTCAATGTAATGTTATGTGTGGTGTTTGTCTGTGCATATCCTTGACCTGTGCGTGTGTGTGTGTGTGTGTGTGTGGGCAGGCTCAGGTGACGTTCCTGCAGGGTGAGCGGAAGGGGCAGGAGAACATGAAGCAGGACCTGGTCAGGCGGATCAAGATGTTGGAGTACGCCCTTAAACAGGAGAGGTCAGACGCGTGCACACAGACACATGCACACTCCCACTCACTCTGTAGGGCTTGGGTAACACTGCCATCTTGTGGTTCTTTATTTTGTGGTTCTTTCGCTCTCTCTGCAGGTCCAAACACCAGAAGCTGAAGACAGGCAGTGACCAGAGCCCAGGGGAGAAGAAACCAGAAACAGAGGCAGAACAAGGTATGCAGGCTCTATGTAGACTCTATGTATGCTCTAGGCCAGGGGTGTCAAACTAATTTTGCCCCGGGGGCCGCATTCAGTCTTCAACGATGTCCGGAGGGTGGCACTGAAAATGGTTTATATTTCCTCGACGTCCAAATTTGCAAAAAATAGTCCTCTAGCCATAGTTTTTGATGCTCCCTGACTTCAGTGATCATTAGCGAGCTGGACACGGTCAATAAACTGTATGAATGTAGGTCCATTATCATTTCTACACAGTTTTAGTAATTTTAAAGTATATTGAGTTCGCCCCCCCCCACCCCCCAAAAAAACAAAAACATTATAAGATATTTTTTACTCAAACTACCAGTGGGCCGGATTGGACCCTCTCGGATCCGGCACACGGGCCGTATGTTTGACATCCCTGCTCTAGGCTATCAGAAGACGTTAACATTTTCCATGTAAAACTATCGCGGCATCCCTCTATGTCAGCTCACTATATTTGATACCAGACTTGGGCTTTTCACTGTGGAGAATGTCTGGATGGTCTAATGATTGCATCAGTGATTGGTTCACTGTGTAGCCTAGATCTAATGCATTCTAAAGCAGAACTAGTAACTTCCCCATGCTTCTGTTTCCACATCTGTCCCAGTTAGCTGTGTGGTGGGGGGAGGGGGGGGGGGGGTGCTTGCTTCTGTTACATTAGAGCTTCCTCCTCTAATTGACTCTTCCTCTACCCCGCAGTGCCTAATGGGCCAGCAGAGTCCGAATCTGAGCCAGCCAATCAGATGTCCTGGAAGGAGGGCCGTCAGCTACTGCGCAAGTAAGGCTTCCTCCCCATAGCGAGAGCAGCACTGTCCTCAATACTTTTAATAAACTGTTGAGTCTGAATGAAGAGGCTAATCGTGTGTGTCCATGGTTTGCGTGTGTGTGTGCGCTGTGTGTGTGTGTGTAGGTACCTGGAGGAGGTGGGTTACTCGGACACCATCCTGGACATGCGTTCGAAGCGTGTACGCTCCCTGCTGGGTCGTACCAGCCCCGAGGCTAACGGGACCCCGGCCAGCAGCGAGCAGCAGCCCCCCCCAGACCCCGAGCCCCTGGCAGGGGGGGAGTCACTCCTCATCAGACAGATAGAGGAGCAGATCAAGAGGTGAGACCCCCATACACATACCCCTGTCCTCGGTGTAGGGTGCTGTGGACAGTGATGAATCAAAGCTTGTCTCCATAGTAGTCGCTGTGAAGTTGATCAGTAGTATGTCTGTGGTGGTGTATTGCATATTTTTGTAAAATTTCTATAACTGTCAGTAATGTGCATTGTTGTTGGAGTTGTATGTTGCCTCGGATATGTGTGTGTGGGTTGTCTCTGATGTGTGTGTGTCGGTAGGAACGCGGTGGGGAAGGATGGTTCTAAGGAGCGTCTGGGCGGCTCGGTGCTGGATAAGATCCCCTTCCTACACGGCTGCGAGGATGATGATGAGGATGACAGTGATGAGGAAGATGACTTCCAGGGCATGGGCACGGACTGTATAGACGGGCAGCGCAACAAGAACAAGAAGCCCCGCGTTAAGGTCCGAGTACGTCAACACGGCAACATTTGTGTGTGTTAGATTATACCCCTGTGTGTGTTTATTTGTGTGTATTAAAGCCCTTCTCTCTCTGTGTGTGTAGATGGGGACTGAGCCCATGACCACAGACCTGGACCCTGATGATGAGGAGGATGAAGATGACTCAGAGGATGCCCTGAGCGAGTTTGACTTCCTGGGATCAGGGGAGGAGGGGGAGGGGGCGGGGGAGGCCCGGGTCTCAGGGGACGGCCGGGAGTTAGGTACGCCATCGTCGTAGCAACCGCCTCAACCACACCTGTCTGTCTCTCCGTCTGTCTTCTCTTTCTATCTGTCTGTCTATCCCTCTCTCCCTTCATCCCTATCCGTCTCTCTCTTTCTAGGGAGTTATATGTTCTGTACTCTCACCTCTACTGCCAATAAACCATTGTCTATGGTGAACCAGTGTCTGTGTGTCTCACTATCACATTTGTTGTTTGGATGTGTGCCTTTGTCATCCACGTGTGTCTCTATCTGGAGCAATGTGTTCTGTTAGCATAAAGCATGCTATTTGGTGTCTGTCTACTTTATCTCTTTATCCACCTCTTGGCCTGTCTCTCAGTCCGTGTCTGTTTGTGGGTTTGTCTCTTTCTATTTCTCTGTTCGCTCATCATCTCTCCTTCTGTATGCATGGCCATGTGTTATTTCGTCCTTTACTTCTCTCTTTCTCCTTCTTTGTCTCTCTCACGCTCTCTGTCTCTCACGCTCTCTGTCTCTCACGCTCTCTGTCTCTCACGCTCTCTGTCTCTCACGCTCTCTCTCTCTCTCTCTCTCTCTCTCTCTCTCTCTCTCTCTCTCTCTCTCTCTCTCTCTGTCTCTGTCTCTGTCTCTGTCTCTGTCTCTGTCTCTCTGTCTCTCTCTCTGTCTCTCCCCCCCTCTGCATGACTGTGTGTGTTTGTGTCTCTCTCCTCTGGCCTGGTTCAGAGAACCGCAGGAACAAGTTACAGGGCATGATGTCGGACTTCCCCCCCAAACCCTCCCCGCCCCCCTCTGTGTCGGGACAGTCTCGCTCCGGGGAAGGTAAGACAATACCCGCCCCCAAAAACTCTCCCCCTCTCCCTGTCTGGTTGTGCCAAATGTTCTACAATGTTCTGTGTTATGTCATGTTTCATGTGCTGCGTGGGACCCCAGGAAAAGTAGCTGCTGCTTTTGCAACAGCTAATGGGGATCCTAAAAAAATACAAAATACCAAAGTAGCTCAATTGCTTCTCTCGCTCTCGTCTAAAGGGATACTGCTCTGAAGAGGTCATTGTTTTAGTATTAGAAAAAGGGAAGGGATGTGTTTTTGATAAGATTGTGGGTTAATGTGGTAGTGGGTTTAGTATTGATAAGATTGTGGGTTAATGTGGTAGTGGGTTTAGTATTGAGAGCTGTTCTTCCTCCGCTCCTTAAGGTGGCGCTCTGGGCTTTTCCTCTGACGTCTTCATCCTGGATGCCGTCGGGGGCGGAGACATGAACCTGGGAGAGCTGGCTGACCTCACCGTCGCCAATGACAACGACCTCACCGTGGATGTGAGTACTTGAACACACGCACACACACACACACGTACAACAGAGACGTACAGTACCAGTCAAAAGTTTGTATACACCTACTCATTCCAGGGTTTTTCTTTATTTTTACTATTTTCTACATTGTAGAATAATAGTGAAGACATCAAAACTATGAAAAAACACATATGGAATCATGTAGTAACCCAAAAAGTGTTAAACAAATCAAAACATATTTTATATTTGAGATTCTTCAAAAAGCCACCCTTTGCCTTGATGACAGCTTTGAACAATCTTGCATTGTCTCAACCAGCTTCATGAGGTAGTCACCTGGAATGCATTTCAATTAACAGGTCTGCCAGTTAATTTCTGGAATTTCTTTCCTTCTTAATGCGTTTGAGCCAATCAGTTGTGTTGTGACAAGATAGGGTTGGTATACAGAAGATAGCCATATTTGGTAAAATACCATATTATGGCAAGAACAGCTCAAATAAGCAAAGAGAAAACAGTCCATTACTTTAAGACATGAAGGTCTGCCAATACGGACAATTTCAAGAACTTTGAAAGTTTCTTCAAGTGCAGTCGCAAAAACCATCAAGCGCTATGATGAAACTGGCTCTCATGAGGACCGCCACAGGAAAGGAAGACCCAGAGTTACCTCTGCTGCAGAGGATAAGTTCATTAGAGTTACCAGCCTCAGAAATCGGCAATTAACTGCATCTCAGATTGCGGCCCAAAAAAAAAAAAATGCTTCAGTGTTCAAGTAACAGACACATCTCAACATCAACTGTTCAGAGGAGACTGCGTGAAACAGGCCTTCGTGGTCGAATTGCTGCAAAGAAACCACCACTAAAGGACACCAATAAGTAGAAGAGACTTGCTTGGGCCAAGAAACACGAGCAATGTAAATCTGTCCTTTGGTCTGATGAGTCCAAATGTGAGATTTGTGGTTCCAACCGCCGTGTCTTTGTGAGACGCAGAGTAGGTGAACGGATGATCTCCGCATTTGTGGTTCCCACCGTGAAGCATGGAGGAGGGGGTGTGATGGTGTGGGGGTGCTTTGCTGGTGACACTGTCAGTGATTTATTTAGAATTCAAGGCACACTTAACCAGCATGGCTACCACAGCATTCTGCAGCGATACGCCATCCCATCTGATTTGAGCTTAGTGGGACTATCATTTGTTTTTCAACAGGACAATGACCCAACACACCTCCAGGCTGTGTAAGGGCTATTTGACCAAGAAGGAGAGTGATGGAGTGCTGCATCAGATGACCTGGCCTCTACAATCACCCGACCTCAACCCAACTGAGATGGTTTGGGATGAGTTGGACCGCAGAGTGAAGGAAAAGCAGCCAACAAGTGCTCAGCATATGTGGGAACTCCTTCAAGACTGTTGGAAAAGCATTCCAGGTGACTACCTCATGAAGCTGGTTGAGAGAATTCCAAGAGTGCCTTGATGACAGCTTCGCACAAAGGGTGGCTACTTTGAAGAATCTCAAATATAAAATATATTTTGATTTGTTTAACACTTTTTTGGTTACTACGAATACACGCGTGTTATTTCATAGTGTTGATGTCTTCACTATTAATCTACAATGTGGAAAATAGTAAAAACAAAGAAAAACCCTTGAATGAGTAGGTGTGTCCAAACCTTTGACAGGTACTGTACGTGCTCGCACACACACACACACACACACACCAGTGTTTCCCCTTTAAAGCAAATTTCCTGCAATTCTACACATTTTGCCATGGCTTAGGCTGTGTTCTTGCTATCTCAAACATTAAAACAAAATCAATGGCAAATGACATTTGGGGAATTTTATATTCTCCCTCACTGTCTAGTTTTTATTTTGGTAGTTGTTCGTTTTTAAAGATGATTTTATAAATACATAGCTCCATTATCTTTTTTACGTACTTTATACAGTGGGGGAAAAAAGTATTTAGTCAGCCACCAATTGTGCAAGTTCTCCCACTTAAAAAGATGAGAGAGGCCTGTAATGTTCATCATAGGTACACGTCAACTATGACAGACAAAATTAGAATTTTTTTCCCAGAAAATCACATTATGGTGGAAAATAAGTATTTGGTCACCTACAAACAAGCAAGATTTCTGGCTCTCACAGACCTGTAACTTCTTCTTTAAAAGGCTCCTCTGTCCTCCACTCGTTACCTGTATTAATGGCACCTGTTTGAACTTGTTATCAGTATAAAAGACACCTGTCCACAACCTCAAACAGTCACACTCCAAACTCCACTATGGCCAAGACCAAAGAGCTGTCAAAGGACACCAGAAACAAAATTGTAGACCTGCACCAGGCTGGGAAGACTGAATCTGCAATAGGTAAGCAGCTTGGTTTGAAGAAATCAACTGTGGGAGCAATTATTAGGAAATGGAAGACATACAAGACCACTGATAATCTCCCTCGATCTGGGGCTCCACGCAAGATCTCACCCCGTGGGGTCAAAATGATCACAAGAACGGTGAGCAAAAATCCCAGAACCACACGGAGGGACCTAGTGAATGACCTGCAGAGAGCTGGGACCAAAGTAACAAAGCCTACCATCAGTAACACACTACGCCGCCAGGGACACAAATCCTGCAGTGCCAGACGTGTCCCCCTGCTTAAGCCAGTACATGTCCAGGCCCGTCTGAAGTTTGCTAGAGTGCATTTGGATGATCCAGAAGAGGATTGGGAGAATGTCAGATGAAACCAAAATATAACTTTTTGGTAAAAACTCAACTCGTCATGTTTGGAGGACAAAGAATGCTGAGTTGCATCCAAAGAACACCATACCTACTGTGAAGCATGGGGGTGGAAACATCATGCTTTGAGGCTGTTTTTCTGCAAAGGGACCAGGACGACTGATCCGTGTAAAGGAAAGAATGAATGGGGCCATGTATCGTGAGATTTTGAGTGAAAACCTCCTTCCATCAGCAAGGGCATTGAAGATGAAACGTGGCTGGGTCTTTCAGCATGACAAAGATCCCAAACACACCGCCCGGGCAACGAAGGAGTGGCTTCGTAAGAAGCATTTCAAGGTCCTGGAGTGGCCTAGCCAGTCTCCAGATCTCAACCCCATAGAAAATCTTTGGAGGGAGTTGAAAGTCCGTGTTGCCCAGCGACAGCCCCAAAACATCACTGCTCTAGAGGAGATCTGCATGGAGGAATGGGCCAAAATACCAGCAACAGTGTGTGAAAACCTTGTGAAGACTTACAGAAAACGTTTGACCTGTGTCATTGCCAACAAAGGGTATATAACAAAGTATTGAGAAACTTTTGTTATTGACCAAATACTTATTTTCCACCATAATTTGCAAATAAATTCATTAAAAATCCTACAATGTGATTTTCTGTGAAAAAAAATCTAATTTTGTCTGTCATAGTTGAAAATTACAGGCCTCTCATCTTTTTAAGTGGGAGAACTTGCACAATTGGTGGCTGACTAAATACTTTTTTCCCCCACTGTATCTGGTTTTAGTCGCTTAAGTTTACACTGAAAACATTTTAACCATCCCCCCACCACATTTTTTATTTTTTATTTGGCGGCAACAATTTAGCAGTGGCGGCCCGCTGCTGCTAAATGAATACCATCACCAACACTCTGACACCTGTGTGCGTGTAGCTGCAGGATAACCGGGAGGAGTTCAAGAAGACGTGGAACCCTCGTTTCACGCTGCGTAGCCATTTTGATGCCATCAGAGCGTTGACATTCCACCCCAGCCAGGCTGTTCTACTCACAGCCTCCGAGGACGGAACCCTGAAGCTGTGGAACCTCAACAAGGCGATACACTCCAAGAAGTAAGAGCCTAAGGAATAGCAGGAACATAACACACGAATATCAGGGCCTGTTTTTAAAAAGTGTATCATCAAAATGGAATGCTTATCTAGGATCAGGTCCCTCCTGTCCATGTAATCTTATTCAGTGTGATTTAAAGGGCAAAACTGATCCCAGATTAGCACTCACTCCTACTCTGAGATGCTTTATGAATACAGGCCCAGGAGTGGGAAAGAAACTGAATGAGGTCTGGTAGTGTGCTATAACACTGTGCTGTAATGTGTAAATGTTTAAATCGTTTTTGGTCTTTGCCTCCACAGAAATGCAGCGCTGGACGTTGAGCCCATCTACACCTTCAGAGCCCACAGGTGAGCTCAGAGCGCACGCGCACACACGCACGCAAACACACACATACACACATTTGTTGCAACTATCACGTGTTTTGGTGTGTTTCTGGTTTAATAGCTAATCTTTGAGTAATTTTGTGTGTGTGTGTACAGTGGTGCAGTTCTGTCTCTGGCCATGGGAGAGGACGGCGACTCGTGCTACAGCGGGGGTCTGGACGGAACCGTGCGCTGCTGGAAGATCCCAGACCTCAACGTGGATCCCTACGACAACTACGGTCAGTCCCTGACCCCTGTCTGACCCCTCTGTTACCTTTCACCTCCAGTCAACCAGTCAGGACTAGCCAGGTTTATCCCCAGCTAACGTATTCAGCTCTGAGTCAGTGGATTACACATTATCATCAATCATCACTATCATCTCCATGAAAACAGATTGACTGACATTAGGGCTGTGACGGTCATGGAATTTTTTGGACCTCCACACAGTTCTTTGGAAGAGGTGTAATTTCCTCCATATTAAAGGGATAGTTCGAGATTTTGGCAATGAAGCCATTTATCTACATACTTCCCCAGAGTTGGATTAACAGTAACAGCTAGCATGCTAACTGTTCCTGTAGACATCCAGTCATTGCGCTAATGCTAGTTAGCAATAGCTCGTGAATCTACCTCTTACTTCCTTCATACTGGACGCAAAGACATAAAAATGGTATCCATGATGGTATTCAGTTGTAGCTAGTGATATTCATAAAAGTTATTGTTTTAAAAAAAATAACCCCCCCAAAAGAAAATCGGGGACCGCGGACCCCAGTTTGAAAACACCTGACCTAGGCAACCGAAGACTCGTTTGCTACAACACCTTGCTTGTTTCAGCAAGGAGCAATAAAGTTTCATCACGTTGTAGAATCCATTTGTGTGTGTGTGTGTGTCTCTTTGTTGTGTAGACCCGGGCATAGAGAGCAGTGTGTTGTCGGGTCATGAGGACTCAGTGTGGGGTCTGACGTACTCTGTCCCCCACCATCGCCTGGCCTCCTGCTCTGCAGACGGGACCGTTCGCATCTGGGACCCCCAGAACTCTGCCCCCTGTCTCTCCGTCTTCAACAAGGAGAAAGGTGAGTGTGTGTGTGTGTGTGTGTGTGTGTGTGAGTGATATCTTAACTCTCTCCTCCCCCCTCCCTCAGAGCACGGAACACCAACCTCAGTGGCCTTTGTGAACTCTGACCCCGACCAGGCGGTGGTGTCATTTGACGGCGGCGAGACGCTGCTCTATGACCTCAACACAGAGCAGAGCATCATGGTCCTGGAGACCGGGACTAAGGACGGTGAGTGCTAGGGCATGTTCTAATAATGTCCGAATGCTTCCTGTGCCCTGGCTGGTCTAGCGGTAATGCCGCAGCCTCTGGCACATATGTGTACAGTGTTGGCTAGGGGTGTAATGGTTCACCAAACCCACAGTTCGGTACCTATTGCGGTTTTAGGGTCACGGTTCAGTTTTGGTACAACGAGAACATTTTAATGCCATTCACAATGTTTAGCATTCACAATGTTTCTTGGCATTGTCTGTTGAGACAGGATTGTTATGTTGGGCCTCTCAAGTTTCCACACTGATGCTGCATTTGTAACCATGTGGGAGGTGGGAATTTACCAGTTGTGAGGTCGTAAATACCAGTTAGAGGCATTAATGTGATTTGGACTCGTTGAGGAACGCTGATTGGCTAATGACCAACAAACTGCGTCAACTATAGACTAAAAGTACAGCTATCATGCTTAAAAAAAAAATATAGAGTAAAAAAAAAAATTGATTGATTTTTATAAATCTTGTTTTGTTGTTGCATTGAACTGCTGAAAATGCTGTTATAGAGGCCGTTTCCTTAGTAGGTGATGTCAGAGGTCACCATGTGGGAGAAGTGGGTGCTCAGAATGATAGATGAGTTTCCCACTAGTAATTACCAGTTGGAGGGCCATTTAAGTGGTTTTTTCCCAGTCATATGTGGTAAATTCCCTCTTCCCATATGGTTACGAACGCACCATGACAACGCACTTGTGACTCTCATAAAGGGGGCGTGTCTGTAGCACAGTACATCTCCAATCCGGGGTAATGTGATGGGCTGTCACTTTTAAGGAAGCACAACACCGGGTGCATTGGCCAATTCATTGAAAACTTTGTCTTTGGCTTGCTTATACAGAGCGGGTACTAGCTGTTTGCTGAAATGAGTGCAAGAGGGAAGTTGGTGATGTTGCTCGAGCACTTTCACGAGGTGCTGAAACACCCTATTCTCAACCACTGAGAATGGGCTCATATCCGCGGCTATAAACCAAAGACTGTAAAAAAATATGAACATAGCCCACCTATCACTCTTGTAATTTCTTTGGCCCAGTCAGAATCTGCTGCCAAGGGCAGAGGGGAGACAATGTTGTGTTGTTGATTCTTTGCGTTTCCGTCTTGCTCCGGTATACTGGGGTGATGTCGGCGTAAATGTGTCAACATATTTGAGTTGTTGGCAGCTGCATAGGCTATTCTCGTTGCACGTAGCGGCATACTGTTAACTTTTTTATCCACAACTCTCTGTCCATCACCGTTGTAATCTACTGGGAGTCTCCTCACAAAATGACAGTTTTAAAATGTGCCAATTTTGATTACCACCGTGCACGTACGCTCTAGACTGGGCCAAAGAAATCCCGGAGTCGCCTCTTCACTGTTGACGTTGAGACCGGTGTTTTGCGGGTACTATTTAATGAAGCTGCCAGTTTGCGCTGTTCTGTGAAGGGAGTAGTACACAGCGTTGTACGAGATCTTCAGTTTCTTGGCAATTTCTCGCATGGAATAGCCTTCATTTCTCAGAACAAGAATAGACTGACGAGGTTCAGAAGAAAGTTATTTGTTTCTGGCCATTTTGAGCCTGTAATTGAACCCACAATTGCTGATGCTCCAGATAATCAACTAGTCTCAAGAAGGCCAGTTTTATTGCTTCTTTAATCAGCACAACAGTTTTCAGCGGTGCTAACATAATTGCAAAAGTGTTTTCTAATGATCAATTAGCCTTTTAAAATGATAAACTTGGATTAGCAAACACAACGTGCCATTGGAACACAGGACTGATGGTTGCTGATAATGGGCCTCTGTATGCCTATGTAGATATTCCATAAAAAATCAGCCGTTTCCAGCTACAATAGCCATTTACAACATTAACAATGTCTACACTGTATTTCGGACCAATTTAATGTTATTTTAATGGACCAAAAAATTGATTTTCTTTCGAAAACAAGGCAAGTTCTATGTGACGCCAAACTTTTGAACGGTAGTGTATATATTGAAATAATTCATCATTCTGTGCCCCTTCCTTGAGAGAAGCCAGGAGGATCTCCCTCAATACTGATCTGTGTGTGTTTGTGAGCTGATCTGTGTGTGTCGCCCCCTGCAGGCAGTGAGCTGATTAATTGTGTGGTCAGCCACCCCTCTGAGCCCATCTCCATCACCGCACACGAGAATCGCACTATCCGCTATCTCGACAACAAGACAGGTCAGCCCCTCTCCACTGCTAAGTCCTATCTTTATGTAACTACGCCAGAATTAGGCCTCGTGCTTGATCTGTTTTATCTGGGTCGAACTAGCCCATAGCGCCATAACTTGTTTTGATCATTTAATGAAATTAAATTGAATGCCCATCTGTGTGTGTTACCAGGTAAAGTGATCCACTCCATGGTGGCACACCTGGATGCAGTCACCTGTCTGACCACGGACCCCAAAGGCACTTACCTCATCTCTGGCAGTGAGTACCCTGTCTTGTATTGGAACTCTAACCCAGTGTTTCTTAATCCTGGTCCTGGGGACCAAAAGGGCTGCAATTGTTTTTGTTTTTGCCCTAGCACTACACACCTGATTCCACTAATCAAAGGTTTGATGATGAGTTGATTAGTCGTGGAATCAGGTGTGTAGTGCTAGGGTAAAAACAACAACAATTGCAGCCCATTTGGGTCCCCAGGAGCAGGAAACACTGTTTCTAAACACATAACATTGATCCAAGATGGCGCCGGAGGAGATAGCTGCCGTTTTCCGGCCCTCTAACCAATTGTACTATTATGTGTGTTTTTTCGCGTTATTTGTAATTTATTCTGTACATGATGTTTCTGCCACCATCTCTTATGACCAAAAAGAGCTTCTGGATATCAGGACAGCGATTACTCAACTCGTATTGGACGAATACGTTTTCTTCAATGAGTCGGACGCAAAGGATATTCTATAGACACCCGACAAGGCCCAAATCCCCGTCATTCGCATGAAAAAGAGACAGAGATATCATGGACGTAGGCCTTGTAAGGATCCGACGGCGAGCGAATAAACTGCCTCTTCCATCAATCCTATTAGCCAATGTTCAATCGTTTGAAAATAAATTGGACGACCTAAGCTCAAGGTTATCCTACCAACGGAATATTAAAAACTGTAATATCTTATGTTTCACCGAGTCGTGGCTGAACGACGACATGGATAACATACAGCTGGCGGGATATACGTTACATTGGCAGGATAGAATGGCTGACTCCTGTAAGACAAGGGGTGGCGGTCTGTGTATATTTGTAAACAACAGCTGGTGCATAAAATCTAATACTAAGGAAGTCTCGAGGTAGAGTATCTCATGATAAGCTGCAGACCACACTATTTACCAAGAGAGTTTTCGTCTATATTTTTCGTAGCTGTCTATTTACCACCACAAACCGATGCTGGCACTAAGATTGCACTCAATGAGCTATATAAGGCCATAAGCAAACATAAAAACGCTCATCCAGAGGCAGCGCTCCTAGTGGCCGGGGACTTTTAATGCAGGGAAACTTAAATCCGTTCTACTTGATTTCTACCAGCATGTTAAATGTGCAACCAGAGGTAAAAAAAACTCTAGACCACCTTTACTCCACATACAGAGACGCGTGCAAAGCTCTCCCTCGCCCTCCATTTGGCAAATCTGACCATAACTCTATCCTTCTGATTCCTGCTTATAAGCAAAAACTAAAGCAGGAAGCACCAGTGACTCGGTTAATAAGGAAGTGGTCAGATGATGCAGATGCTAAGCTACAGGACTGTTTTGCTAGCACAGACTGGAATATGTTCCAGGATTCTTCCGATAGCATTGAGGAGTACACCACATCAGTCACTGGCTTCATCAATAAGTGCATCGATGACGTCGTCCCCACAGTGACCGTACCTACATATTCCAACCAGAAGCCATGGATTACAGTCAACATCCGCACTGAGCTGAAGGGTAGAGCTGCCGCTTTCAAGGAGCGGGACTCTAACCCGGACCCTTATAAGAAATCCCGCTATGCCCTCTGACGGACCATCAAACAGGCAAAGTACAGGACTAAGATTTAATTGTACTACACCGGCTCTGACGCTCATCAGATGTGGCAGGGCTTGCAAACTATTACAGACTACAAAGGGAAGCAGAGCCGCGAGCTGCCCAGTGACACAAGCCTACCAGACACGCTAAATCACTTCTATGCTCGCTTCAAGGCAAGCAACACTGAAGCATGCATAAGAGCATCAGCTGTTCCGGATGACTGCGATCACGCTCTCCGTAGCTGATGTGAGTAAGACTTTTAAGCAGGTCAACATTCGCAATGCCGCAGGGCCAGACTGATTACCAGGACATGTACTCAGAGCATGCGCTGACCAACTGGCAAGTGTCTTCACAGACATGTCCGTGACTGAGTCTGTAATACCAACATGTTTCAAGCAGACAACCATAGTCCCTGTGCCCAAGAACACTAAGATAACCTACCTAAATGACTACCAACCCGTAGCCATGAAGTGCTTTGAAAGGTTGTTCATTGCTCACATCAACACCATTGTCCCAGAAACACTAGACCCACTCCAATTTGGATACCTCCCCAACAGATTCACAGATGATGCAATCTCAATTGCACTCCACACTGCCCTTTCCCACCTGGACAAGAGGAACACCAACGTGAGAATGATATTCATTGACTACAGCTCAGCATTCAACACCATAGTGCCCTCAAAGCTCATCACTAAGCTAAGGACCCTGGGACTAAACACCTCCCTCTGCAACTGGATCCTGGACTTCCTGACGGGCCACCCCCATGTGGTAAGGGTAGGTAAAAACACATCTGCCACGCTGATCCTCAACACGGGGGCCCCTCAGGGGTGCGTGCTCAGTCCCTTCCTGTACTCCTTGTTCACCCATGACTGCATGGCCAGGCACGACTCCAACACCATCATTAAGTTTGCCGATGACACAACAGTGGTAGGCCTGATCACCGACAATGATGAGACAGCCTATAGGGAGGTCAGAGACCTGGCCGTGTGGTGCCAGGATAACAACCTCTCCCTCAACGTGATCAAGACAAAGAAGATGATTGTGGACTACAGGAAAAATAAGAGGACTGAGCACGCCCCCATTCTCATCGACAGGGCTGTAGTGGAACAGGTTGAGAAGTTCAAGTTCCTTTGTGTCCACATCACCAACAAACTATCATGGTCCAAACACACCAAGACAGTCGTGAAGAGGGCACGACAAAGCTTATTCCCCCTCAGGAGACTGAAAAGATTTGGCATGGGTCCTCAGATCCTCAAAAGGTTATACAGCATCGAGAGCATCCTGACTGGTTGCATCACTGCCTGGTATGGCAACTGCTCGGCCTCCGACCGCAAGACACTACAGAGGGTAGTGCGTACGGCCCAGTGTTTCACTGGGACCAAGCTTCCTGCCATCCAGGACCTCTATACCAGGCGGTGTCAGAGGAAGGCCCTAAAAATTGTCAGACTCCAGTCACCCTAGTCATAGACTCTTCTCTCTGCTACCGCACGGCAAGCGGTACCGGAGCGCCAAGTCTAGGTCCAAAAGGCTTCTTAAAAGCTTCTACCCCCAATCCATAAGACTCCTGAACAGCTAGTCATGGCTACCCAGACTATTTGCATTGTTCTATTACGCTGCTACTCTCTGTTTATTATCTATGCATAGTCACTTTAACTCTACCCACATGTACATATTACCTCAATTACCTCGACTAACCGGTGCCCCCGCACATTGACTCTGTACCGGTACCCCCTGTATTTAGCCTTGCTATTGTTATTTTATTTTACTGCTGCTCTTTCATTATTTGCTATTTTTATTTTTTACTTATCTATATTTTACTTAACACTTTATTATTATATATATATTTTTTGCTGTATTGTTGGCTAAGGGCTTGTAAGTAAGCATTTCACTGTAAGGTCTACACCTGTTGTATTCGGTGCATGTGGCAAATAAAATTTCATTTGATTTGATGATTCCGCTGTACTCGGACTGTGCTCTCTGCTTCCCCCTGCAGGCCATGACTGTTCGGTGCGTCTGTGGATGCTGGACAACAGGACGTGTGTGCAGGAGATCACGGCCCACAGGAAGAAGCATGACGAGGCCATTCACGACGTGGCCTTCCACCCCTCGCAGCCCTTCATCGCCTCGGCCGGCGCCGACGCACTCGCCAAGATCTTCGTCTGAGAGGAGGCACAGACAGGGACTCACCATCATCCTCACTGGTGAGACACTAGGGTACAGAGAGTGTGTGTGTGTGCTTTATATTACAATCTGTTTGTTGAGTTTCTTTTCTTTACTTGTCCCTTCTTTTCATTACAGCCCGACAATCACAACTTGGCCAGAGGAGAGTGATGACTACAATGGACAAACCTCACCTGCCTACACACACAATTCCACATTCACAGTTAAACATACACATCCAGTAACATACACACACAAAACTGTGTCCTGCACCCCACTGGCTGGGTCATTGCCACAGGACACTATTACCCACAGTTCTCTAGCTATCCCATGATGCCTCAGTAACTTGTTGCGATACTAATCATACTGCTTTTCTAACGACTTACCTGGCAGCTCGTTTTATTAGGTCAGTTTACTACACTACAATACTCTATTAATTTCAACTTTTACAGTCCACTCATGGTTATTATAAGGCAGTGTGTGTTGACTTTGATCACTACGCATGCCGATGCATCACCTACTACAATTAGTGACACACACACACAGGTTAACATTCAGTTTGAAACGTGTTTTTTAGCGATAAGAAGCTTAGCTCACCAGTTGCTAACACACATAAGTACCTAACTACAGTAGAGTCCAGTACCCACCCAGTGATGGCAGTAGCCATTGTCTACTGCAACACAGTGTGGGGGCACAATGCATTTCATTCCAAAGACTTCTGAGGGTTTTAGTTTGTGTGTGTTTTGGAGACGCCTCCTAACCATTGTTGGACAAACAACTTTAATTTTAGCCTCATCGCCAAGACACTAAGTTTGAGTGTTTGTGTGTCCGGTATTGTACGGTCATCCATTTCAGTAGAATTAACTTTGATAGGAATGGTGTGTGTGTTGCACTTGTTTAATCTTGGTGCTAAGACCTCGTCAGTCCAAGTCTGAATCAGGGACCTGTTTGCATTTGAGCTGTGTGTGTGTGTGTGTGTGTGTGTGTGTGTGTACTGTTCTTCTTCACTGGGATATTTGTCATCAACAGTAGCTTGATATGGCTTGCATCATGCGTCACTCTCCAGCCATGCCATCTGTTTGTGTTGAGATACTGTAAGGGTCATTTTGATCTCATAGGAAGACTAACACGCTATGCTAAGCAGACACTTTTCTATTGGTTTACTTTCATATTTTTGTATGTGTGTGTGTGTGAAGTTGGCCTTTGTCATTTCTTCAGGATAGCTGGTTTGTGAAAGAGTATGTGGAGTTGATGCCACAGTGGAGCCCTCTGACTGAAACGGTTGACGTTACCAGAAAGTGGCACTACTCCCAAGATGGCGTCCTGTATTCTCACTCCGTTCCATATGTCGGCATCAAGTCAGAATGGTCCTTGGTGCTGGTGTATTTATTTAGGCTTGTGCTTGGAAACAATCATATTATCCATTGAAATGACTGTTGTTGATTTGGTTTCTGGTGCGAGGCAGGTCGCAGTTGCACTGCACTGACTTGCCCAGCGTGCTCATAGTGGGAAACTGGCCTCCCTCCCGTGTCAATGGAGCCAGCAGGGGAAATTGCCCCCAGGATATGGGAACAAAAGCAACATAAAGAGCCCTCCTTCCTGTCCCTTTCCCCTATGGAGAGGAAACAAGAACAAACACTACCTAACCCCCGAGCCCCGTTACATTGGCCTCCGCGACAAAGACTGAACTAGACAGGGTTGGTGACTGTTCACCAAGCGGTCACTTTGTGCTTGGATTATTGTGGAGCTATTTTTCCTGGATGGCTCTGAGCTGTGGGCGACCGCTAAAGACTGACATTATGGGTGATGTCGTTGGGTAGCCGGCCTCCTGGATCCGTCAAGTTTATTTTCGAACTTTCCGGGGTGGAACAGAGGCGGGGGGAGCCCTGAGGGCAGATCTCTGGCTGTGGAAACATGGTTCAACATGGTTCTACAAGCCAGGGCAGAGCAGGGCATGGCAGTAAATAATGAATGGTCCAGTAGCACCATGTCAATCAGTAACTGGCCCTGAGCTGCCCCCAACCCTACTAATCAACCCCTAGCACACCCCAGAGGGAGGGGGTAGAAGTCATCCCAAACCACTGATTCCAGATCAAATATTTCTTCATCTCCTTAATGGCTAAAGGAAGCATTGGGGTTAGGGTAATCTGATCCTATGTCTGTGGTTAAGGTCAACTTTAACCAAGAGCCCCTACAGTACATGCTACAGGGTCACTACAGGGGTCAGAGAATCAGAGAAATGACTGAGAGGTCAACGTTTTCCTCTCCACTGCAAGACCTTATGGGAAAACACTCTGGTCTGATCAGACAGGTTTCTCTGGGCTTGGTTAAGTAAATATCAGCTTCATGTGTTTGCTTTAACATGATTGTTTCAGATGTATTGAATTTGATGAGGCAGAGAGAATGCCTAAGTGCTTCTGTAGCACATTGTGTGCTGTAATCCTTTGTTATTGAGAGGATAACTATAGTACACAGTTGTCAATCACCCAGCTGATGGTATCACCCACACTAACTAACGGTTGGCTATATGCTGCACTACATCAGCTGCACTAGACTCCCAAGACTAGACCAAGAGCTTATCTGTAGCTCGTATGTGTCTTAGTCTGGCTGTGGAGACCAGGGCCCAGTTTCCCAAAAGCATCTTAAAGAGCGACTGCCCCTAAAAAGCAACTTCTTGTTTTGTAAAGGGCCTATATGGCATCGATATGAGTCAGAAACATTTATTCTACTGTCAAAATTGATTACAAAGTGTAAATAGGATCATTTTGGTCATAAAGTCAGTCTCGTCCAAAATGGAGATTTGCGAGATAGGAAAAAATGGTATGTCACGGAATGAAGGGTACCGTAACAGTCTTCCGTAGTTTCAGTTTATTTTAATCAGCAGCACCCAAGTAATCATCAATTCTGAGCGCAGCTGCACACGACCAGATCGTAATGCTCATGGTCAATTTGGTTTGACTTTCGATATTCCAATGGGGCTAGTTAGGGACCATCAGTGGACATGGGACAATATTTTAAATGTTCAACCCAACTATACATTGTAGAAAACCAAATATAAATCATATAGCAATATTGGAAGCATTTAATGAGACACCTAAAAGATGTGCAACATGAAAAAATTGTCCCATTTACATTGTGTAATTTATTGACGGTCCCTAAATATCCCCAGAGATAAGCTATCCAAAGTCAAACCAATTTTGCCACAGTCGCACACCAGCGGCTGAAGCTAATTGGCGAAATGATTTGGCTAACTCTTCCCACCTGTGAACATGCACAAGAGACACCCACATCAAAGCACACCCCGAAACCAACTTGCGTTTGAATTCAGTCGAGGCTGCTAGTGTTTGTTAATTAACCAAATCTAAAACGAGGCTAAATAAGGAAGTGCAGTCACCCTTCAAGTCCAAGTTCATCGTAAGAACCTTCATAGAAGCATTGTCAAATTTCCAAGCTGTTTCCCAAAACCATTGTAACTAAAGTTGCATTTGAAAACACTCGTTATTTTCCCGACACACCTCAGCTAAGTGCGTCGTTAGATGCTTTTTTACCCTTCCTCGTCACTTTATACACAGAACAGAAGATCTCAGCTAAACATAGACTCTATATGTTTATCGGTCTCTCTGTGAACGCAGATAACTTCAAAATGAAGTTGACTGCTAAAAATACAAAGTTGCCAATGTCTTTGCGATTGTTCCAAACAAGCGAAGATACAAAGATGCTTCAAATAAAAACCGAGTTGACTGTGGGGCGCAGAAGGACAAACAAAAATATAAATACAGATAGTAGGCTTATATAGGCTGAATACAAAGGCCTGTTTATTTAAATCATATTGAAATCAATTTCATGTTCAAACAATTGAGTTATATTTTGCTGGCTAGCCTACTTCCTGCAATTTTTGCCTCTATATATTTCATGATGTGTAACGTGCGCAGTGATATGCCAAATCTGTGATTCTTGCATTATTATTGGGTAAGCATTAGAATAAGCCGGCTCAATATTTGCGGCCATTAGGTGATAATCTCTCTAGAAGCTGATCCGTTAAGGTAAAATATAAATAGAGAAAGCTGTTCCGAGAGCAGCTCTGCCTTTCTTTCGATCCTATCAGTATCGACACATGCTCCAACGACACACTTGGCGAACGTTCTTTCTGCGTGGTGTTTTGGGAAATGCATGTTACATCTTCGGCTGTTGTAGGAATGATGCATTGTTAAAACACTTGTAAGCCAAAATTCCATCGCTATTGGGAAACCAGGCCCTGAAGTGTCTCACTGGTATTTCTCCTACCTTCACGTAAATATTAAGACTGCATGAGTGTGTTGGATGAACTCTGCACTCAGTGTCTGTGTGTCAGTCAGTGTACATGTACAGTGGGGAGAATAAGTATTTGATACACTGCCGATTTTGCAGGTTTTCCTACTTACAAAGCATGTAGAGGTCTGTAATTTTTATCATAGGTACACTTCAACTGTGAGAGACGGAATCTAAAACAAAAATCCAGAAAATCACATTGTATGATTTTTAAGTAATTAATTTGCATTTTATTGCATGACATATAAGTATTTGATCACCTACCAACCAGTAAGAATTCCGGCTCTCATAGACCTGTTAGTTTTTCTTTAAGAAGCCCTCCTGTTCTCCACTCATTACCTGTATTAACTGCACCTGTTTGAACTCGTTACCTGTATAAAAGACACCTGTCCACACACTCAATCAAACAGACTCCAACCTCTCCACAATGGCCAAGACCAGAGAGCTGTGTAAGGACATCAGGGATAAAATTGTAGACCTGCACAAGGCTGGAAAGGGCTACAGGACAATAGGCAAGCAGCTTGGTGAGAAGGCAACAACTGTTGGCGCAATTATTAGAAAATGGAAGAAGTTCAAGATGACGGTCAATCACCCTCGGTCTGGGGCTCCATGCAAGATCTCACCTCGTGGGGCATCAATGATCATGAGGAAGGTGAGGGATCAGCCCAGAACTACACGGCAGGACCTGGTCAATG